ATGTGAGGGACGAACAGACCCACAATAAAGTGTTATTTTAAATTTTAATTATTGGAAACTTTAATCGGTTAAATTCGAGCGTTTTATCGAGTTAGGCTAAAAGCCATAAAAATTATTTCCCACGGAGTTTGTTCCTTGTTGAGTCGGATCAAGTTAGTCAGGGATGTGTCACCAGGAACTTTTGATGGAGAATCCATATTGGACGCGAGACCGTTAATGGCAACCACCTGACCTCATGGAAAAAACCCAAGAGGAATGAGACGAGAGAAAAGAAAAAAAGACCCCGAGGTCAGTCGTCATCCGAAGTCCATCTACAGAAGTCGTCATCTGAAGTCCCTCTACAAAAGTCGTCCTTCCGAATTAACACCGTGACCCAGGATTAACATCGAGAGAAAAAGATCGTGCCTGATTAAGCCTCTACACTTCTCCGTGCCTCCACACCAGTGAACAGACAAGATTCGGAACTAGTGTAAAGAACAGTCCATCGACAAGGTATTTATCAACCCGCGATTCGTTTGTAAACTCTCTCTCTCTCTCAACCTCCTAGTATAATTAAGAACGATAATATGCCCGATATCTCTGTATAGTATTTAGTTCGATTTAGTTAAAATTGTTATTTATTTGTTACTATGGAGTCCGAGTAAGTTACTTCCTCGTCTCTCTCCTCACCTCTACTCCGAATCCAAGCGCTCACACGCTACCGCTCGCGAATCTTTAGACGTAACGTCGCGATTTCCGAGTTCCCCAGAGACTCGGTGGTGTCATCCTGACAGGGCGCCAAAGAGGTGCCGACCCTATGGTCATACATACATACATACATACATAACCTCTTTATAATATTAGTATAGATTTAGACCCATGTACAGGACTTTAAATGGGTGAGGTTAAAAAAATTTTTCTAACTCGCTTTATTTGTACAATATACATATATGAAGCATGCAATGTCATAACATTGTGAATGCCATTTTTCTCTAAATATGTATTATTAAAAATTGAATTCTAAATGCAATGTTTTCTGCTGCAAAAGAAAATATGGCAATATTGCATTGTAAGTGGCTGTATTTTTAAGATGAATTTATGTGCATATATAATGTTTAAAGTGCCAGAGTGCAAGTCACATGACTTTTGGTGCTTAAAATGTTACAGCTTATATTTACATCAGTTTGAAAGTGTAGAGAATTTGTAACCTAGAGAGTTTACCATTTTATTGTAAAACTGAAATGAATTCATACATTAGAAAAAAGCGTTTTTTACCTCTCCTGAAAAGTTTCTTTTTTGGCATTTACAACATTATGGCATTGCATACTTCATATAGAGTAGTGGTCCCCAAAGTGGTCGATAGAGTTTTCCAGGGATTGATTAATACACGAGGGTCAAAAGGGGGACGATTAATACCAAAAAGGATCAATTAAAAAACAGGAAAAAAATGTCTAGGAAAAAAATAGAATATTCCAATAAAAATTTGAAATATGGATATGATCAACATTACTGACTACCCTAGTTATAACTTGAGTTTTGCCTTAGCCTACGCCGCTTTAAGCATGCGTTACTCTGTTTTCACACATCTGACAACTGTACTAGTATTGCAAACATGTTATGAACGCTGGTAGTTCATTATACACAGACATACGTTGCACTGTTACACTCTAGTAGGGTTGTCACTCTAAGTATTTTATATCTAAATGTAGATATTTTGTCCTTTACAGAGAAAATATTGTAATATATTGAAAATCATTAACCCTTTACCATCGCCATCTTGTTTACATTTATTCTGTAAACTGTCCGACGGCAATATAGTTCAGTCAGGTGATATTATTTTAAAAATTTACCAAAAATCAAATTATCATTATGTTCATATGAAAAAAATCACGTACATTTATTAATATCTTTAGTTTAATAGTTTAGAATAATTATAATTCCTTTTAATTCTAAATACAGTATCTATTGTTAGCAAAAGGTGGCAACACTGCACTCTGAGAATAAACAGTCAGTTCTTTATAGCTCGTGTTGGAGTAAGTTGTCTCTCATACTGCTGCTAAAACAGCAGTAAGTGCAGCAAACGTATTGTGTTTTTCATATTAGAAATCTGATTTTAATACTCACAATGTCGGCTACCAATGCTAAGAAGAAATGCAGACAGTATTCACAGAAGTATTTTAAATATATTTTGTGCCATCGTTTGCTAATGAAACTATTCCTATGTGCTTATTATGTGAAAAATCTCTCAGCAATGATGCTATGAAGCCATTGAAAATGAAAGACCACTTGGAAAGGATCCATTCTGATAAGAAAAACAAAGATTTCGAGTACAGTCGACCCCCCTATAACACTGTTGATTATTCTGTTTTATATGAATTCCATGTTGTACAAGTCACTTAGATTTTACAAATACGTGAGCCATTACAGCCTGGCACACGTATTTGTAAAATCTAAGTGACTCATACAACATGGAATTCATATAAAACGGAATAATCAACAGTGTTATAGGGGGTCAACTGTATTTCAAAATACTAAAAGAGAAATTGAGAGTTCGGCCAAATTTGAATACATATTTGAAGTCATTTGCTAGAGTTGATAGAGGAGGAGGACTGAAGACATCCTACAGCATCTCTCTTAATTAATATAGCAAAGAAAGGCAAACCGTATACTATTGGTGAAGAGATTATAATACCAGCTATAAAAGATGCAATTAAAAATGTTATGAAGAAAGACTCCCAACTAGTTTTAAAATGAATACCATAATTTCAAATACTGTGCAGCGACGTATTGAGGAAATGGCTGATGATGTGGAAAGAATTTTGACCTCTGAGCTCCAGCATTGTAAGTTTGCTATTCAACTTGATGAATCAACTTTCGGAAGTTCAAATCTTCTCATTGCTTATGTTAGGTTTCATAGTCAATCCCTGAATGACACTGTTGATGAATTTCTATTTGCTAAGTATCTTGAAACTGATTCAAAAGGTGAGACATTTTTTTTATGTTTGCAAGATTATTTGAACAAGCACAGCATTCCTTTCAGAAATATTACTACAGTAGCTACTGGCACTGCACCTGCTATGGTAGGTCGTTATAGAGGATTTTTCGTCTTTCTGAAGGAAAAGGTTCCTAAATACAGTACATACTGTTCACTGTGTCCTACACAGGCAGCATCTTGTAGCCAAAAAACTGAGTGCCAATCTTCATGATACTCTAAAAGTGTGCATCAGGTCAATAAATAAAATTAAAGCTCATCCTCTCAATTCCAGACTGTTGCAAAGTTATGTGAAGAAAATAACGAAACTTTCAACCAATTACTTTTGCACACTGAGATAAGGTGGTTGTCAAGAGGTAATAATTTGCAGAGGCTTGTGACTTGTACAACTCAACTGAAGAGTTTCTTAGGAATGTGGATCCATCACTATGTGACCAGTTAAAACAGTGCTAGAACCATCTGTTTTATTTGGCAGACCTTTATTCAAAATTTAATATAGTACAGAAGCATTTGCAAGGAAAAAATGTTACAATTGTTCAAGCTCAAACAATCATAATGGCCTTTAATATATATATACATACATACATACACACACACATTTGTAATAATCATAATGGCCTTTCAAGTAAAAATGGAGCTATTTAAATCTTCACTGGCATGATCCAATTTTAAATATTTTTCAAACTTGTGTATTAAAAGAAAATGAAAAGATTTCCAACTGTGATTTTGAGATATATATTAAACATCTTGATAAATTAAGAGAAAACTTTAAAGCACATTTTGTAGACTTGGAGAATATGCATGTATCCGAATGATTTGCTAATCCATTTGATGTAAAAATAGATAATGAAGGTAGTGAACCTGGCTTAGAAGATGAACTGATTGAAATATGTTTAGATCTCGAAGCTAAAGCGTTGTTTAAAAACAAAAACCTCAATGAATTTTGGAGCAATAACAATATTGCCACTAAATATCCCAAGCTCAGAGCAGAAACCGAACCTTTCTTACTTACATTCCCAACTTCGTACATGGTTGAAGCTAGTTTTAGTCACACGAATGCAATTTTGACAAAACAGAAGAACAGATTGAACTTGGAAAACTGTG